TATGGTAATGTAAAACATCTTCCTCGTTGAGCGAAATAGACAAATACGAAAGTTTTTAACAACTACTTTTAACAATTTCAAGTTTACTTAAATTTTTACTAGCTTAATATAGTTTTAAAAGGAGCTAATTTAATGAGATTTGTTGAAAAATTTAGTTTATTATATTTAAAACATGGCAAAATTAAAGTTTAACTTTTCGTTTTTTTAAAGCTTTTAAAAATCGGTTTTTTACAAAACTATCCTTAACTGTATCGAGTTATTTTGGCCTTCTAACTTTTGGTCTTGGCTTTGGCCTTTCTAATTTTGGCCTTGCTAACAACTCTGGTGGTAACGCGTGATTAATTACGTGGTTACGACCCTTAAGTTTTTTCAAGGCGGGTAATGATCTTCTTTGAGTATCCGCATTCTTTATATTTATTTTTATACTTTCCTAACTTTCCTTTTTTTATATTATTTCTATCTGTTTCATAAATATTGTAATAACGAACAAAAAAAAATTGTTTTTTAGTTTTAGCTTGAGATGTTTCATTAATTCAGCCTCGTGTAATTAGATAGCTTCATTATTTAAACAGACGTAAAGAAAAATTTCGTAAAAATACTTTAGTAAATCACGCGCATATTCTTAATTAAATTTGGTGAACAGAAAAATAGAATTAAAATCAAGCACATGTTTGGAATAAGAATTAATTAAAAAACTCAAAATAAAATTAAGGTATTGTATGGCCTACTTAAAGTTTACAACCAAATATTCTACATTTTTTGCCGGAAAAATAGGCCATTAAAAAAATAAAAACGCTATAAAATCAAAACAAATAAACAATTTAAGAAATATTTTTGTTCTTGCAACTACATTTTGTTCAGCTAGAAATAAATTATTTTCTAACAGAAATTACTTTTTTTCAATAAAAATGAATTTTTATTTAAATAAAATTGAATTTGCCAAAAGAATGTAGTAGTATTTTTATATTTTATTATTTCACACTAATAAAAACATCACAGGTTAACTTAATATTTACATTAACTCTGAAAATAGATACTATAAACTAACTATAAAATCAACACAATATTTATCAGTAATTACATTTTTTTATTAAAAAAATATATTAGTTATATTTATACTATTACTGTAATATACTGGTTTGTTAGATATTTTTTATCAGTATCAGATGCATAGAACAAAGTAAGTTTAGGGTTGTTAATTTTAAAAAGAATTTTAATTACTTAATTTTGAACCAAAATAAATTTTGCTTTGCGAAATCCACGATAGTCTATGAATATATATTTTACTTTTCAAAATCCTAAAAATAGCTCCGAAAATATTGTAATCTTTCAAAATTAAGAAATATGTAATGAAAAATATTTACATAGTCAAAAATTTACCAAAACATCTTTCGAAACTCTATAATTTGTATCGTTATCATTACTGTACTCTAATCATCTTGAATTAGGTAACATTTTAATCATCATCAAAATCATCTTACATTATATTGATTACATCTTCGTTTACTTTTACTAAGAGTTCTGAAGATATTTGTTATCTATTTGGGGGCTCGCACTCAGGTCTAAATATTTTAAGCCACTTGGTAGTCAAGTCAAGATTTTCCACTATGTAAGATGGTATATTTATTTAAAAAAAAAACTTGCAACTCGCAAACCCAGTTCATTCTTCTGAATACTTGTTGTTGTAGTAACAAATTTAGAAATGGATGTTTGTCGTTGCATTTGTCATTGCAGTAGAATGAAAAATTTATGAATAAGAGGAATCACTATTAAAGCTTAAACGATCGTGATCATTATTTTCCGCCTGGTTAGACTTGTTTGATACTGCAGATGTAGATTGCTTTTACTCAATAACTGATATATCACTAAATACGTTTGCTGAATTGTTAGCGCATCCTTTTTTCTTTCTTTCTGGATATATCAAAATGGACCTTAACTTTCTCTATTTATTTAATTATGCTTTCTTTGCAATAATAACCTATTACTCAATTTGATTGATCAATTAGTATGGTCACTTCGTTCCACCCTCTAGTCTAATTTCTTTCCTTTGATTGACACTTTGACATGTTAAAGTCAAATGAAGACCTATAATCTATTTATATTTTAAATTTAAATAGAAAGTAAATAAAAAAATAACTCAATTTAAAAATAGCTTATACTAGAAAAAATCTGATTATTAATTAAGCTTTTGTATAAGACAATATAACTTTAAAAAATGAAAAATAGCTTTTAAATAACTATAAACTTATCAGACTTTGTTACTAAAGATTTACATAAAACTTTAGTAAAAACCTAAAAATCTAATAACCCACCCAAATACCCAGTATGGTTGGGCTTTTGCTAAAAAACCCGGGTTTTTGCCAACCCTGATTTCAAATCATTATAGTAATGCTAAATATTACTTTTTACCTTTTTTTCAATTAGAAAATAATTTTCATGCTCTAAATAAAATAAGTTTCTTATCTAAAAATGTTTTATATTAACCGAGTATCAAAAGCCAAAAACAATCAAAAAACATTTTGTTCTAGTTTGGTTTTGTACAAGTTTTTACATTAAAAACTTTTTTTTTCTTTTTTAATACTTTAGTGAAAGTTGACCTTTTTCGTATTAGTTTTTAAAATGAAAGTTTACTTTTATCGTGTTGTTTTTAAATGTGAAAGTTGAAACACTATAAATTGTTAAAAAATATTTAAAAACAAGTTTTTAACGCTTAAAAAACGCCTTTTTCAGAACAAGTTTTCATTTTAATGAAAAAAATTGGAAAATGGAAAACGTTAACGCAGATTTTTTTTAAATAAAGTTCTTTTGAAACGAAGTTGGTGGTTAGTGAATAACTATAGAAATTGGATTTTATATGGCAAAGCAAATATCTCTCTTCTATATATAACTGATTTTTTGACGAGATTAAATAAAAAATAACAACATAATTTTTACAATTAAAAAATTTTTGCGTTTAGTTATCATCTGGTAAAAATATATTGTTTTTTTCGTTAAAAAATATTCTTTTGATAAAAGTTGTGACGTTCAAAAACAATTATAATATATATATATATATATATATATATATATATATATATATATATATATATATATATATATATATATATATATATATATATATATATATATATATATATATATATATATATATATATAAATCCTTATCTTGTAGTCAAAGAAACTTTTATGATAAAAATAAAGTTTCTTTTGACAACAATTTCGCGACTTCAATAATTAGGCAATCTTTTATTTGTAGTTTTATTTAAAAATTTTATCATTTTTTTTGTACTATTTTCAACTAGATTTAAATTCATCTGTAAATTTTAAATTTCATAGTAAAATGTAAGGTGTTCAAAAATTATGAGTATTTAAAATATGCAACCCCCTCAATTTCAGGGTGGTTTAAACTTTACATGACCATAATTTTTGAACACTAAAGTATTTTACTAAGAAATTTAAAATTTATATAAAGAAGCTGGCAACCAAATCTTTTTTTTTTTTAGTTTGTAGAGTTTTCTTTACTCTAAATCGAATAAAACCTAATAAAATCTATTAAAGTATCAAGGTTTTTAAAATATTGACTAACAATATGCATATTCTGACCGGCTCATATGCAGCTGCTCTTTTGAATCAATTCAGTACAAAATTTATTAATATTTTTATCTTTTAATTACCATTTGTATCTTGACGGTATGCTGTCTTTGAATACTTTTTTTTTTAAAGGATTGTTTATGATTGGAAAAACGTTTTTTTCGTTTACTCTCTGTTAAGCTAATATATAGTTTAGCAGGTACATTTATTAAAGAAAACAGCACATTTATATACCATGTCTTTCAACATTTTTCGTTTATTGGAAAATTTATTTATTTGTTTATAGGGTAACTTAACATAATTTTGCCCATCTCTCAATCTCGCCCACCATCTTTAATTGCTTATATGTCAGTTAACTCACACGCTGAACAATTAAAACGACGTTCTTTTAGAGCGGCCAACCAGCCTTATCAACATCAAAACAACTTGACCTCAAAAGAATGTCTTAAAGAAACTTAGTTGTTTTTTAATAATTTTTTTCTACTTAATTTGCCGAATTAAAACCAGCTGATGCAATCAACCGAGTTAATTATTTATTATGCATGTTGAATTATAATTTAATTTTGTTCTCCACTGTTTAATCTCTGATTGTAACAACAATTATAGTTGTTTAAAATGATAGATTATGCATAAAGTTGTTTTTTGGTCAACCTACCAAATTAACTCAATCTTGCCCACAGAATAAATAAATTATCGCCCATGCATTTAATCTTGCCCGGGTGGGCGAGAATAGATGCAGCATAATATATTAGTATTTTCGCTACCAGCAGTTTTAGCAAAAAAAATCTTTCGCCGTGACCCCCGTTAATTTTTTTATTAAATTGGGATGACATATTTAATAAATAATTGAAAAGTCAAAATCATAAAATTTTGTAAGGATACATATTAAGAGCATAATTTTTATGAAAGCTTACAAACAAGTATTTTTTTATGTATTTTTATTCTATAGATTATTGAGGAAATTATTTAATAATTTATTTACCCTTAATTCAATATCTTTGGCATTATCGTAAAAACCAGGGGTGTGGAGTTGTAAAAAAAAGGAACGACTTCGACTCCGACTCCAGTTGTTGAATTTTTTTGAGTACAACTCTGACTCCGACTCCAGTTTTTGAAATTTTCCGAATCCGACTCCAACTCCGACTCCAACTACATCTTCAAAGCAAAATTTTCGAAAAATTCTTTGAATTCTTTAAAAAACATTACACAATAAGATAAAAAAAGTTTTTTTCAAAAACTTTATGAAACGTTCATGGAGGTTTATTATGAATATAAGGTTAATTGCATGATTTGTACATGAACGTACAATACCGAGTAGTTTTACTATTGGAGTCGGAGTCGCTATTTTGTTTGGCGACTCCGACTCCGCAAAAAATGTTGCAACTCCGCAACTCCAACTTCGACTCCGACTCCACAGCCCTGGTAAAAATGAACCTCAACTTACTTAATAACTGCTTTGCCAAAAATTAATAATATCCGCGTTTATTTATTATTGATAGCCTTCAAAACACAACTCTTTCTCTAAGTATTGATATTAAAGAAATTAATTAAAAAATAAATTGCTATGGCTCTGCGTTGGTAAATTAATTGTATAAATGCTCATGTTCATAAAAAACAAAAAAATTAGCTAGATAAAGAACAAAGAAATGACAAATAAGTAAACTTTGTTTGCTATGACATCTTCTTTTCCTGATAATTATTGGTAAGAAAGAATTCGGAACTTTATCTTTTTATGCTTTTATAAAAAGATTTTTAGTGTTTAGAAATAATGCGTATTTATTTGCGATTGTTTTATTTATTTTCAATTTAAGAACTTAAAAAACTTATCGTTTTTTTTTTAAACAGGTCCAAAACGTTAGGTTCAAAAGGTCCAAACTCGTTTTGTGCATAATAAAAATGTTTTTATTCTTCTTTAAATAACTTTTCTAATTACTTAGTCAAATACATACTTAGCTCATTGTTAATTAAGTACTGCGAAGTTCTAGGGTTGGTATTAGGTTACAAATACTAATATATGGTTTTCACCACATAATAATATTTGTAGCTCTTGTAAATTTTGAGCACTTTATTAAATTAATATGACATTCATACTGCAATTTAACTTATCTAGGTATTGTCTTGAAAAAGAACATGGTTAAAACAAGATGTGGGGGTTGTAGATCATTACCAAGATTTCACCAGATGTCGGCTGGAAAGATTGCTTTTGTAATAGAGGCTACAATATATTATAATACAACTAATCTTCATGATGGTGTAACTCCTTCTGGTAGTAGTACTCTTGACATTTGTCAAATTAAACAGCTACCAACAATTGATAATTCTTTAACTCGTGTCAATTGTTCTAATCAATCCATTGATCAAACAGTCACAGTTAAAAAAACACGGTAAATTTCCTGAAATGGAGTGAAGAAAATATGGTAAGTACAATTAAGCATGTCAGATCAGAGCCATCATTTTCAGTGCGTAAAGCAGCAATATTGTACAACGTGCCAGGTACAACACCGAGAGACAGACTTTTTGAAAAAATTGTTATTAGAGCAAAATTAGAAAGAGTATATGTATATATATATGTTTGTGTATATGTATGTGTGTATGTATATATGTATGTATATGTATATGTATGTATGTATGTAGGTATGTTCAAAGCATGTATGTATGTATATATGTATGTGTGCACATGTGTGTTTGTGTTCACAGCTATGTGTGTATGTGTATATTTTGTATATGTGTGTGTATATTTTGTATATATATATATATATATATATATATATATATATATATATATATATATATATATATATATATATATATATATATATATATATATATATATATATATATATATATATATACAATGTAGGTCATTATCGCGGAGGTCTATTCTGTTTTAATACATGATTGTTGATATAAAAATACAAACCTCCATCTTAAGTCTACCAAAGAACACGCTCATAATCTAGATGTTCTATAAGGAAAGTTCATGCAGCAATCTCTATCACATATGATGACTTTTATAGTTATTTTCTATTTTCAATAGTAAATAACAAACTGTATGAATTGTTTTCATATAAAATGCTTTATTTTTTTTTGTTACTTATAAATTCTAAGGTATATTATTGATAAATTAAACAGAAAAAGATTTCTAGTTTTCTACTTTTCTTATATTTAATGATAATAATTATTTCATCTATTTTTAACAACGCCTTTTTTTGTCAATATATTCACTTTTGTTAAAATCGAAGTAGAAGGCTAAATAATTAAAATGGAAAAAAAATGACTATGATTTTCAGAATCAGCATGAAAAACTAATAAAGAAAAATTGGTTAAACTATAAAAAATCTAAAAAAAGACGATTATGGACCCCTTCCTACTGAGGTTGATTTTAAATGCATAAACGCAATAACCAAAGTTTTCTCGTCTAACTTCCCGAATTTCACAGAAAAAAAGTCAGACGAAATATCGTCTACCCTAATTGTTGTAACCCAACTAAAAAAACCCAAGTAAACTAAAATAAAGTAACTAAAATTGTAACCCAATTAAAATTATACGTACTATATTCGTATTCCGTCGCAATAATACGAACAATATATAAATTTTTAAAAAAAGGAGGTATTTAATAACATGTAAAATTTTCTTTCTAGCCTACTTAAAAAATTAACAACTTTCGAATCATCGCAAGAGAATACAAATTTTCAACACATTTTATCCGGAACCAAAAAGTTAAATTTACCCGGAATTTACAAATAGATCCGATATAAAGTGTAACATGAGTAAAATACTATACTTCCATGGTAAATGAAAAGGCTCTGAGAAGGCTCTCAGTAAATGGGTGTGTGCTATTGTTTTAAAGACCAATAATAAATGTGATTATGTAATTAATTCTCCTTAAAGATTTCATCTTTTCCATTTGGCATTAAAAATAAATGGGTGTGTGCTATTGTTTTAAAGACCAATAATAAATGTGATTATGTAATTAATTCTCCTTAAAGATTTCATCTTTTCCATTTGGCATTAAAAAAATTTGAGCTTACAAGTGTGCTAGCTTTTAATATTAAAACATTGTAAATTTTGGATTGTTTTAAGTTTAAATATTTAATTTTTTTTTTACTTGTTAATAATATTGTTGTAAAAATATAATAAAAAAATTCGTTTTGATAACAGAGTTTATATTATAAGCTCTGTTATAAGTTATAACTCTATATACTCTCTATGCTTATATTATATTATAATTATACTAAATATATTATAATTTATAAGTCCTTAGTTTAAAGTTATAACTCTATATACTTTTGTATCCTAAATAATATTAAAATATTATAATTAAATCATAATATGAATATACACAGGCTGCAAAAAAAGGCCACTTTTCATTTACTTTCAAATTTTTCTATTGAAATAAAATAATATTCTAACGTTTAAGATTTTTTTCCATATAACATACAACATTTTATTGTACTAAGTTAAATACTTTCTCATTAAAATAATCATTAAGGATGGCAATTAGAACAAGTATATTAAAAAAATATTTATTTCCAGCATGGCTGAAAATAATGTTTTTTAATATTTTATTGAAATTGTCAAATTTCTGTTTGATAACTAAAGTATGATCTCTTTTTTTAAGAAAGTGCATTTGACAATTTATAAAATGTCAAATATGTCATGACATTAACACTTTTATTTTTACTTTAAATAAATACAATATACTTAAAAAGTATATGCTTTTAAAAAATAATTATAACTCAATTAAAAATAAGTTTGCAGTAAAAAATAAAAGTAAATATTCTTTCGCTTCACTAAAATACAGTTTTTGAAAAGTTTACCATAATGCCCATCAGATCTAATTACCCTCCTTAACTTTACTCAGAAATAAGTTAGCAATAAAAAAAAATTAGTGTCACTCCTTTGATCAGATTTCTGTATGAGTGACACCTTCCTAATAAATCATCAATTTATTATTACAAATAACTTTATGCTTATAACTAACATAATATTTATTATTATTATTATTATTATTTCATTGTAATTTTGTAAACATGTTTATTATTACTTTTAATCTAATTTGTATTA